GGAAAATCCTAAATTCTTGCAGATGTATATATTTGATACATCTAATGAATTACAAAATAGTTATCAATTATGAATCGAGTGGGTAAAACTTCATTAGATGAAATTTTTTATCATTCTTAATTAATATGCTTGATGAAAATAACACTTTAGATAAAAAATTTAGAAAAGCTATAGATATATATATGAAAGTGGTCATATTTGTGAAATGAAAATTCATATGATAGGATATGATAAAAGGAAAATACAATATAATCTGCTATTAGCTAATGAGATAGCGGGTTTGATAATCGGTGATTTTTCTAAAACTATTGGCGAACGAGATGTTCTTCTTCAACATAAATCAGACAATTTGCAAAGAATCTTGGCAACTCATCCTCTTTATATGGCTTTGCAATATCCATTATTATTTTCTTATGGAGAAGTTAGGTTTTTTGAAGGAATACCATATGTTCAAAGTTTATCATCTGATCACAAGAATGATTATGTTAAAATGACAGAATATTATATGTATTGTATACATAACAGAAACGTCGAAGCATCCATTATTTTAAAAAGTGGTAGATTATATCATCAATATATTGTAGATGCGTTTACGTCTATTGAGGCAAGCCGTCTGACATTTATTAAACTTAATCAAAATGCAATAAGAGCTGATGTATATAATAATATAAATGATGACATATCAAAGGGAGATCATGATCCACATAGTCATGGTAAAATAATTATATTTCCATCATTAATTAATGAAAGTCCAAGATATATGGCAGAAAAAATATCAAGATGCAATGGCACTTTGTCATTGTTTTGGAAATCCTGATTTATTTATTATCATGACTGCTAATCCTAAATGAAATGAAATAAATGAACACTAGGTAATAGCCCACACCCTGCGCAGAGTGAAATATCTTTTATTTGATTAATATAATTTTTTTTAATATTATATAACATAATATTTTTAATTTTAATTTTGGTTTTATATAATATGATTGTAAAATATATTAATAATATAATAAATTTTTTTTTTGTTTATATTAGTATAAAAACCGACGTAACGCCCAATCAATATACATTATTTTAGTCTAATGGGTTTAAATATAGATTTGAATGATATAAAAAATGATAGATATAAATAACTTATTTTGTGAAAAAAAAAATACAAAATTAATGCTTTCAAAATAATTTAAAACCAACAATAGTCAAAAATATAAAAGAATTATGCTAATAATATCAAATCATCGATATTCAAAGCTATGTAAATGCTATCAAAGAGTGTTGACCGGAAAGGTGTTTATATATGAAATATGTATTAGTAATATGTAATGGACCAATGTATTGGTTAAATTTGAAGTAGTTACTGATTAATATAATTATAATAAACAATTATTCTATCTCTTTAGATTATTTTAGGATAAATAAATAAGAATTATAATGGCTAACAAAAAAAAAAGGATTACAAACTAAAGAGGAAATAGAGAATAACATAATTTGCAATCGAACGTTCACCTCCACATTGGTGTCACATGAATAAACAAATAATCACATTGTATATGACTTGAACCTTAGATTTTATTTTTTTATTGTATGATGAATATTAAGGTTAATCAAATGAAATATAGTTTGAAGTTGTAATAATACAATGTACTTAAACTATATACGTAGGTAGTAACTAAAGAGAAGAACATATTTCAAAACAATATGTAAAGAGACCGAAGATTAAAAAATAGAGGCTTCATTAGAATTTTTACGGAAACAAATAATGAAACATAAAAGACACAAATTATTGAAAAAAACGGAACTAAAACACAAAATTCAAACTCAGAAAACGATTGAAGCCTCTGTGTTATAAACCCCGTACAATCAACAAAACATACCGCCACAAAATACTGAACTAAGGTTCAGAATCATTTTCAAATAAGTTCTGGAAAACCTCTTTGAATACTACGTTCAATGAGAAAGTGATATTTGAGTGCATACAACACACGTCTTATATATAGTTGGGAGACAATTAAAATCATGATATATGTGATATAATTATTTACGGCACATGAAATATTTTTAATATAAGACATTAAAAACGAAATGATTCAATTATGGATATGAAATTAATATTTAAGATACTAATCGGTTATATTAAAGTTTTCCTAACTATCACACGAACAATCAAATATGTTATTTCTTAAATAGTAATTAGTAGTATCTTTTATATTGTAATAGTTAGGAAAGACGTATTAAATCTAATAATCATAGCTTGAGAAAGACATATTAACATCAATAACGTTATTAATCAACTATTAATTTTGGCAATTAATCATTTAATGCATATATATAGAGTACTCGGTCCATATATGGATCCCATTTTAATTTATTGGTTCATATATATTGATGCATTAATAATTTAAAGTTAATGCATAAATAATCAAAAGTTAATGCATGAATAATGCATGCCTATGTTAAATGCATGCGATTTATTATAAACCTCTATTTTTAATTTTAAACAATGTCAAAAAATTAAACGATTTATTCTAAACCTCTAAGTTAAGATTTAACAATCAGATACAAATAGAAAAGATACTGATAATTTGAGTGCATTTAGGTTATAATAATTTGTATGGTTACTTGATCTTACATGAAATGATCAATTTAAACAACTGCTTAATAGTAAAAAAAATTATAATGTATTCAACTTTTAAAATATTTGTATGGCTTATTCATTGCATTTTTTGGAAAATTGACGGACTTTTATACTAATTTTTTTTAATATGATTAATGTATAATATTTTTAATATTTTTCTCAAAACTATAACAGTTGAATACATTATAAAAATTGCATTATATTATAATGGTAAATAGAATTGTATGGTTCATAATATATCGATGGATAAATTTAAGTAGATGTGAGGTTTAGTTTTTTAGACATAAACTAATATCTATTTATAATATATTGATGGATAGTTTATAAAAGTATAATATATGTTTGGTTATAACAATGCATAATGGCATATCATGTAAATATTCTAGTAACATAAGTCTTTTTTTATAAAAATTCTGAGAAGCTATATGGTGGTGACACATCAGTAAAATGGCACCATTGTAATATTCTACAAATTTAAAGTTTCTCTTTAAAAATGCTTCTCTTTTAATATATAGGAGATTTAGAAATTACTGGTGATACATTGGTCAATGACAGGTCTGATATTGAATCACGAGTTTTTTATTTAAAATTAGATAAGTTAATGGTTTTAATTTTAAAAAAATGAATTTTTGGACCAATAAATAGAGGTACATATATTTTTGTTTGGGTTTTAAAATTATTCAGATAAAATCTAATTATTTATATACTGATTTTTATTCTATAAAAATATCACCTTTAAAAAGACCTATTTTTGATATATTTTCACAATTTTAATCTTGAACAAGTTCAGCATGAGATTTTCCACAAGAAATCTACCTTTGAAAAAGGCGAATTGTGAGTTGGAGATCATGTTTGGGAAGAGAAGCTGAAGGTGTTTTGCAAAGATTTTGGAGACAACTTTATACACAACGTTGCAGAGGGAGATTGGTCTGAAATCCCCTAGCTGACTGACTCAACTATCGTGAATAAACATTCTGACCAAAAAGAAGAAAAAATACATACTACTTTCGTGAATAAACATTCTAACCGAAACATCAAAGCATCTATTATTTTGAAAAGTGGTAGATTATATCATCAATATGTTTTAGATGCGTTTACGTCTATTGAGGCAAACCGTCTGATATTTACTAAACTTAATCAAAATGCAATAAGAGCTGATGTATATAATAATGTAAATGACGTCATATCAAAGGAGATCATGATCCACATAGTCTTGGTAAAAGAATTATATTGCCATCATTAATTACTGAAAGACCAAGATAAATGGTAGAAAAATATCAAGATGCAATGGCGCTTTGTCGTTGTTTTGGAAATTCTGATTTATTTATTATCATGACTGCTAATCCTAAATGGAATGAAATAAATGAATATTTAAAAATTACTGATGATACATCGGTCAGTAACAGGTCTGATATTGAATCACGAGTTTTTCATTTAAAATTAGATGAGTTAATAATTTTAGTTAAAAAAGAATGATTTTTTTACCAATAATTGGAGGTACATATATTTTTGTTTGGGTTTGAAAATTATTCAGATAAAGTCTAATTATTTATATACTGATTTTTTTTTATAAAAATATCAACTTTAAAAAGACCTCTTTTTAAAATATTTTCACAATTTGAATCATGAACAAGTTCAGTTGCCAGCAGGAGATTTCCGACAAGAAATCTACCTTTGACAAAGGCGAATTGTGAGTTGGAGATCATGTTTGGGAAGAGAAGCTGAAGGTGTTTTGCAAAGATTTTGGAGACAACTTTATACACAACGTTGCAGAGGGAGATTGGTCTGAAATCCCCTAGCTAACTGGCTCAAACTAGCTACTTTCGTGAATAAACATTCTGACCAAAAAGAAGAAAAAATACATACTACTTTCACGAACGTTATGTTGTTTTTTATATACATATTCTTCACATAAGGATAAGATTGGTAGAACACTCGCCGGAGGAAGGTATAATCGATGAAGTTGGCGAACATGGATTGGGTTATGATAAAGACTCTAGAACCAGAAACAAACTAAGCAAGAGGAGGATGAAGATGACGAGGTTGTGTGTACTCATGTGACAAGGACAACTTTTCATTTCTTTTCAATTCTAAGAAAATACTATTTATCATGCCTAGACTACATAGTATTGTGAAGGTCAAAACTACACAATTATTTTGGTACGCTTTTTTCTCTTGTTGAATGTTGAGTAGATAAAATATTGACGGATTTAAAATGAAATCCACAACCATGTTTATTTTCTTTGGTTAAAATTTAAAGCCTTCACTAGGAGGCAAAGTTATATTGATTAACATACAAAAGTACATTAATATATATTCGTATAAAGAAACAAAAAACATTGTGACATTTTCGTAAATCGTGTTTAACTTAAGCCGCAATCCAGTTACGGATATCCTCTTCAAGCAAATCACCGACGTAATTATAAGTAGCTTCTGATGGATGAATCGAGTCAAAGAACAAATATTCCGAGCGATTCCCACACGACGGAGAGAAAGCATTACACATGAAGCCCGCCTCCAATAAGCCTGTTCCACAACATCCTCTCTTCGTTTCTTTAAACCCTGTTTTTTTTCAAGATCGTATAATCAGTTTTAAAATTTCATCTCATAGGATAACTTGTGGGACAAGAAAGAGACTGTGTCTACTATATAGTATATATATATACCGTATTTGCTAGGTTTCTGCATCATGTCCATTACAGGATCATAGATATCGGCGTAAAGGATCTTGATTCCAGTAAGAGAGGCTTCGGTCTGAGCTAACTGCTTCTGAAGAATCTGATTGTATGTAATAGAGTCTCTGTTCTCTTGTTCCAAACAAAACCTTAGGATATTGCGGAATTTAGCTGTCATTTGGATCGGTAAACAACCAATCGGCGGTAAACCGGCGACAAGAATGTTCCGGCAACCTAAACTGTATAGCTCCTGCACTCACACCGGAAAAGACATGTCAGTCAACAACCCCGAAATCTGACAATACTATTTTGGTTTTGATTAGAGATAATCTGAGAACATGTTTGAAACATTACCCGGAGGAAGTTGTCAAGCCTCTTAAGTATAAACTCTTGGTAAGCAGAGATGAAAGGGTACTCAAGACGCCTTGTAGGAATGGTGTAAAAATTCAAGATGAAATCGTTAGTCCCTGCACTTACAACCACCAAAGCATTGTTTATAATCTCCATAGCTTTCTTGTCTCCTACGATACTCTTAAGGCGAGCGATGTAACTCCTGAACATTGTAGGTTGATACGAGACAGGAATCGCTTGTGACGAGAGACTGCTTCGCTCATCGTAACCCGCACCGGCTGATGCAAAACAGACTCCGGTCACTATAGTCTAAATCAAGATATGAAACCTGAAAAAAAACAGTATGGTCAAAAGAAAATAAATTTTAATTCGTTGGTAGACAGCAAAGATTAAGAAAGAACAAAAAAAGCTTATTTATTTAGGTGTTTGACAATCTATATTATATAATAGCAAAATAACTTTTTTGAATTGCTGATGTCATCATTTTTTGTAGAAAAAAAAATGATAAATATAACGGTTGACGTTGTTTTGATTTGAAAAATTAATGGTTAGGATTTGACTGCTGACATCATCTTCTAAATGTTAAAAAAATATAGATGTAATTTAACAGTTATTATTCTTTTATACAGATTGAACGGTGAAGATTACATTTGTTTTGTTTACCAAACAGACACATAGTTAACACATTGCAATTTTATACTTAAAACATTGTAACTTTACGAATCATTGTGATTTTTTCAGTTTTGGTTGCTAGAAAAAAAAATCAATTTAATGGTTATTAATCTTTGTATCCAGATTTAACGGTAAAGATTAGATTTATTATGTCTGCCTAACATACGCATATTGAAGAACTGTTGCAACTGGTAAAATGAATATTTGCAACCATTGCAATTGTTTGGTGTATGATTACGTTATTCATTGACTAACCATTGCACCAGTTGATCATCAATCATTGCATCCTAATCAACCATTGTAATCTTTGGAAGTGATATTGGGTTCCGATAAAAGGAGTTGTGAGCATTGCCAAAATCACAACAAAAATAGAAAACAAATTGAAGCAAAGAAAATTAAAAAGAAAGTAAGAGAGAGTTTCACTATTCCAAAATATCATAAACATTTTTTTTGGAAAAACACATATCATATTTTTGGAAAAATAATTTTTTTGAACTGCTGATATCATATTTTTTGTAGGAAAAAAATGACAAATCTAACGGTTGACGTTGTTTTGATTTAAAAAATTATATGGTTAGGATTTGACTGCTAACATCATATTCTAAATGTTAAAAAAAATGTAGATGTAATCTAACGGTTAATTATTTTTTTATACAGATTAAACGGTGAATATTACATTTGTTTTGTTTACCAAACAGGCACATAGTTAACACATTCTAATTTTATACTTAAAACATTGCAACTTTATGAATCATTGTGATTTTTTTGTTTTTGTTGCTAAAAAAGTCAATCTAATGGTTATTAATCTTTGTTTCCAGATTTAACGCTAAATATTAAATTTATTATGTCGACCTAACATACAAATATTGAAGAACTGTTGTAACTGGTAAAATGAATATTTGCAACCATTTCGGTAACTAACCACTGCAATTGTTGGACGTATGGTTACATAATTCAGTGACTAACCATTGCACCAGTTGATGATCAATCATTGCACCCTAATCAACCATTATCATCTTTGGAAGTGATATTTGTTTTCCTATGAAAAGAGTTGTGGGCATTGCCAAAATCACAACAAAAAATAGAAAACAAATTGAAGCAAAGAAAATTAGAAAGAAAGTAAGAGAGAGTTTCACTATTCCAAAATATCATAAACATTTTTTGGAAAAACATATATCACCATTAGAACTGTGTTTTATCCTACAAGAGTTTTTGTCTAACTCAAAGCTTGATAAGGGTCGAAATACTCTTTAAGGAAAGTATCATTGTGCAAAATTCCATCATCATCCAAATTTACAATTCATCATTCAGTTTCAAGTAACTAACAAGTTTATCATCGTAATTTTTTATTTTAAACTAAATTTTCATTTTGAACAAAAAGTATTGTTAAATGTAGAACTTCTTAAAACATTCATCTTCTAAATGTTAAAAAAGTATAGATGTAGTCTAACGGTTATTATTCTTTTATACAGATTGAACAGTGAAGATTACATTTGTTTTGTTTACCAAACAGGCACATAGTTGAAACATTGCAACTTTATACTTAAAACATTGCAACTTTACGAACCATTGTGATTTTTGTTTTGGTTGCTAAAAAAAAATTAATCTAATGGTTATTCCAGATTTAATGGTAAATATTAGATTTATTATATCTGCCTAACATACACATATTGAAGAACTGTTGCAACTGGTAAAATGAATATTTGCAACCATTTCAGTTACTAATCATTGCAATTGTTGGGTGTATGGTTACATTATTCGGTGACTAACCATTGCACCAGTTGATGATCAATCATTGCACCCTGATCAACAATTGTAATATTTGGAAGTGACATTTGGTTTTCTATAAAAGGAGTTGTGGGCATTGCCAAAATCACAACAAAAAAAAAAAATTGAAGCAAAGAAAATTAGAAAGAAAGTAAGAGAGAGTTTCACTATTCCAAAAGATCATAAACGTTTTTTTGGAAAAACACATATCACCATTAGAGCTGTGTTTTATCCTACAAGAGTTTTTGTCTAATCCAAAGTTTGGTAAGGGTCGAAATACTCTTTAAAAAAAGTGTCATTATGCAAGGTTCAATCATCATCCAAATTTACAATTCATAAATCAGTTTCAAGTAACCAACAAGTTTATCATTGTAATTTTTCACTTTAAACTAACTTTTTCATTTTGAACAAAAAATATTATTAAATGTAGAACTTCAAAAAAAAAATTATTATTGTTTATAGATAACAAATGATGTCAGTATTTCATAAACCTAAATCAAATAGTTTTATAGTGCGTCCGAAAATTGAATACAAAATAGTGAAAATATAAATATTGGGATGCGAGAATTTTATAACGAATGAGGTATTAATTTTAATTGTTATTTTTATGGGTTTAAGTTTAAGTTGTGTTATTATAAATTGTTATTCCTATTTTTATTTTATTTATTTTATTTTAGGATGTCCATTAAAAATTAAAGATGTAGGTATTTACACTTCTTTTATTATATATATATAGATTATTAACATAGTATATAATCTTAGCATAATAAAATTTAATATTAAATTTACTATTATTTCAGAATGTGTAAATATGATAATGGATGTTAAAAGATCTGAAGCAATTGGTAGAGAAAGTTACAATGCTCTATTCTCTAATGGTTCATTGAATAAACTTTAGTCACTAATTAAAAATTAAGTTAAAATATTTTTTTAAGCAGGTTTTATTTTCTGGAATAATATGTTTTAAAAAACGAGTATTTACATATTTGTTATAAAATTAATTAATAATTAAATTTTTTTATAATAATATTATGAAATATTTGACAAGCAAGAAAAAAGGTTATAAAAATCAGTAAACATAATAAATTTATGAGGTGTGAAGATTGTAATGCTTTAGTAAATTTATGAGGTGTGAAGATTGTAATGCTTTAGTATAGCTTGCTGAGAGCACATAAAAAGATCGTGTTACAAAACATCTTTTATTTACTATTTGTTGTAAACAAGTGATAGGGCTCAGGTTTTATCCAAATAAGACTACTGTAAGTGCATAGCAAAAACAGTTGTAGTACAAGGGGTATCGAATCCCAAGAGAGTAATGCAGACTACACTATCGAATGTAGGTTCAGACTAAGCTAAGCAGAATATAATGTATGTAATGCGAATGAATAATTCAAAGTAAGCAAACGATTTTTGGAAGATGATCTAAGTTTCAGAAGACTAAAAGCGCTAAGTCAGGACAGTTCACATGTTGAATCCAAGAATGTAGAATGCATGAATCAGGAATGATTAAGAACCGTTTTAAACATGAATCACTGATGTATAACTAATCAATTTTCATTGCAGAAGTTATCTATGCCTAAATCACAGAGTTTCAAACCTCTTTGCAAATCCTAACAACCTAAGCATGTCGGAATGATCAGATTCAATTATGTACAAAACTCCTAAGCCAAATCTCTTTGCACTAAGTTATTTTGCTCATCAAATACTAGTTCAGGTTATCAATAATGCTCTCACATATATTTAACAACCTAGGATTTTCGGATTTCTAGATGATGTGTCTGAGAAATTCGATTTTAAAGCAATCAGAGATGAAAAACCATAAGATATTCCTAACAGAATAGCGATTCTACAATCTCTTCATCAACCTTTGAAAAACTTTAACTTAACTAGCAGATTACTCAGACATGATTATGGGATCACAAAACATAACTGAATAATATTGCATTAGAGAAAGAATAAAAGAATAGAGGGGTTCGAAATTTTCTCAAAAGAGTACATGATTTGTCTCTCCAAAAAGCTCTGAATAAATCTCTCTCTAAGCTCTCTGAATTCTCAAAAACTAAGATAATCGCCAACAATGGCTGAAAAACCTAATAAATTTAGGCTAAACACGATCTGGGGTCTTCTTCTAATTAATAGAACTTCTGGGCCAACTCTGCAAATATCCTTCATACTTTTAATAAATCCACCACGCTCCTTCCTTGATGGGTGACGAGCGTCACCATATGGGATACTTTCTGCTTCGAGCTTGGTACTTCGTGGCTTCAACTCAGAATGCTCCAAAAGATTCCAAAATCTCCAATTATGCTCCAGACATGCTATAACCTGCAAAGACTCTTCTAGGACTCTAAAAAGATCAAAAAGACTCAATAAAAAGGACTTATATCATGGTTAAAAACTATAAAAACCATGATATATCAACAAGGTCGTGTAAAATTACCTCATATACAAGAGCCTCCTCTTGTGCTCAAAAACCTTTTATGTGATCGCACTTTAAAAAACAACATTAGAGTTTTTAATTAAAATGCTCTATATGTGTTCTATGGGTTCTGAAATAGTTGATTCAATCTTAAATTCTGGTGGTTCATTTTGTTTTAAAGTACATGGTGAAAATTATCATTGTATTGGATCTCTTTTACCAACTGATGGGGAAAATCCTAAATTCTTGCAGATGTATATATTTGATACATCTAATGAATTACAAAATAGTTATCAATTATGAATCGAGTGGGTAAAACTTCATTAGATGAAATTTTTTATCATTCTTAATT